CACCGCTGGTTGCCACAGGTGGCACACCTGTCTGTCTCCTGTGGCCTCGGTGCTTCCTTTTTATATATAAAATTAGAAGCTGAATGCTGTCCTCCAGCCACAGCGAGAATAAATTTGACAGATTATTCATATTTACAGTAATTATTACACAATTTAGTTTCAAGTTTAAAAATTTGAGTAAAAGTAGTTAGAAATAAGGTGGAATCTACTCAGAGTCAATGGGAACCCTGGTATGTTTAGTCTGTAGGAATTATGTTGATTATTAAATGGCTGTTCCAGTGTTTACTTTATTTCACGTTGTATGCACCATTAATGGGCACTGATTCTGGATAAGATTAACACTCTACAGAGCTCACTCATCTGTCTGGAATTTTAGATTTGTTTTCTCTCCTCATAGAACTGATAATAATTATTCTCCCTCTGTCAAAAAGACTTCATGAAGAAGAGGAAATATTGAAATAATCTCTTTTACAAGATGGAGGATGTTTGACTTGCAGGAGCCTGTTGGTACCATTCGTTTACAGCAGCTTAGTTATGGGTCAGATTTATCTGGCTCAGGGCTGGTCTCCACATTACCGGCTCTGAGGCCAGGCCCTGTTCTACATTCATGACAGGGTCTACAGAGACTGCCAAAGGTAGGATGAAGGTAAAGCAGCAGTGTGCAGTGGCTCTTGTCCCCTCATTCTCTGTGGCACCTTGCTCTGCTTTCCATACACTCAGATAGGCACGTACACCAAAGCCACAGACTTGCTGCTTCCTCCAAAGGGGAATCAAAATGAACTCTTAGAGCACAACCTTTTAAGTGATCCTTCATTACATTAACACTGACTCAGCATGTGAAATCAAGGATCCTCGCACTCTTCCTGTTGCGCTCAGCAAGAGCATGGCCAGAGAGGTCTTTGTCCCCCTCCAGAGCATTCCTGGTGACAGTGTGGCTGGACTGACAGACAGCTATAGGTTCACATTTTCTTCTAACAGATGTTACTGGTGTAGCAGCCTAGTGTAACAAATTTAGCAAGTGTGTTCAAGCATGTTTCCTACACCATTTTCAGAAGTGATGATATAGCCTGATCAAAACTAAATTTGTAATTTTTTCCCAGCTGTCAGGAGAACATACCAAATGATGTAGGGTCTTACCCATGATTTAGGAATATAATACCTGTATTCCTTTTGACTCCTACTCTGTAATTTAGAAGTGTATTTGAAAAATGATACTTTATCTTCCTGAAGGCTAGACCAGTTGTTTCAGATATGTGCCCGTTCTTTTTTATTACTTACATAGCAAAGAGTAGGTTGAAGATTTATCTAAAACATTAAAAAATTAAGTATGTGTGTGTGCATGTATGTGTGTGTGTGTGTGTGTACAGCTGTGTGTAGGTATGCCACAGTCTATGTTTGGCGATCAGTGGACAACTGTCATAAGTCATTTTCTCCTGCCACCTTCTAGGATCCATAAATCAAACTCAGGGTCACTGAATTCCCGCCCAGGAGCCTCTACCTGCTGAGCCATTTCCCTGGCACTAAACGTTCTTTAATTATGTTGTCATATGAAGTAGCCTTCCTCTTTTCCTTCCCCCTCCATCCCTTCCTTTTTAACTCCTTGCCTTCCTGTCTTCTTTTTCTTCTTCTCCTCCTCCTCCTCCTCCTCCTCCTCCTCCTCCTCCTCCTTCTTCTTCTTCTTCTTCTTCTTCTTCTTCTTTCTATTTCTGTCCTTGTAACTCATGGGATTTCTTTGGGAATCTTCAAATAATTTCTGAATATTTATTCTTATGTATGTTTGTTTGCTTTTTTCCTCATATCAAGTAATCCTTTTGTAAACCTTCTCTCTTATGAAAAGGGTAAAAAACAGTAATGATGCCACCCATTTATTAGAAACAAGCAAAAAAAAAAAAAAAGGCCATTTCCCTGGGAACATCCATCACAGCCCTCTAGAATTAACCACAATGCAGTTATAGTAATCATTTTCTTGCTTTTCCTCATTGTTTTATCCCCCATCATTCTTCTGAAGCACCAGGTTTAGTTTGCTAGCTGTCCAGCAGGTTGTTTGGCTTGAGCTTGTTTTTGCTTTATTCTTTCTTATCTCTGGGTACGCTGCATACATCTCCAGTGGGTATATATGTAGGAGTGGGATGGCCAGACCATGGTGTATGTATCTCTGACATTTTAAAAGTAGTATCTGCTTGTACTCCCAGCAGAGGCGGAAGATAGCCCCCTTCTCTGTCACACCACACCAGATATTCGGCTAGCCTGTCTGTTTATTGATACCTCAGAGTTTGAACTTCCGTTCCCCTGATTGCTGATGAAGCCGAGAAAATGCAAAGAAATCTGCTGAGATTTTTACTGGGATTGCATTTAATGTGTAGATGATACATGGAGAATGTTGCAAAGCAGCCCTCTAGCATGCTTATGTGGTAGAGCACTTTCCATTCCCTCGGCAATGCTGCTGTTTTTTTAGATGCCTTACAGGCTAGTATGTCATTTGTTATATTCATTCTAGATATTTTGTGCTTTAGGCTGTGGCGAGTGCTTTTAATTGTTTTTGTTGTTTTGGTTTTTTGTGTTTGTTTGTTTGTTTGTTTGAGACAAGATCTCACAGTGTGGCCTTGGCTAGCACAGGGCTCATTGTGTAGACCAAGGTTCTCGGAAGCTTGAGGTCCTCCTGCCTCAGCCTCCTCCACAGCCCCGGGGTGTAGGCATGAGCCACTATGCCGAGGTCTAGAAATGACCCTTTTTATAAATCGCATTTTCAGGTGTGTTGCTGATGTATTTGTTATATGAATATTTTCAAATTTTACCTTTTGTGCAACTGCACTTTTCTGTGAATTTGCTCAAGTTTCCTTTGTACATGATTATATGTTGGACAAGTTTAGCCATTCCTCTTATAAATTAAGATGGCTTTAATTTATTTTATTGTTGTTTATGAAGGCCAGGACCTTCACTGGCTGTGATTTCTACCACAGTGGTGACAGAAAGTAGGAATGGTTGGCAATTTCAAAGGGAAAACAAGTTATAGAATTTTTTGAGACTGAGTCTCACGTATGCCGGGAAGGCCTGGAACTCACTGTGTAAACAAGATTGACTGTGATCTTTTCTCCTCTCCCTGCCTCTCCCACCTGAGAGCTGAGGTTACAGGTGTGCGCACACGCCCAGTGTGTGCGGTGCTAGAGCATGCTGCCCCGCCCCTGTGCAAATGCTCTGAAGTGTGGGTGTGTGTTGATGGATTTGGTTGCCAACAGTTGATTTAGGAATTTTAATCTAGATCCACAAGTGAGTGAATCCTCTGATTCCTGGACTTTTTATGTCTTTCCTAACCTTTCATTGCAAGGATTTGTTACACGCTTGACATCAGGTGGAGTTAAGGGCTCTCTCCTCTCTGTTGTCTGAAAGTGCTTGGGGAAGAGGAATATCACCAGAAGTCACAAGGGAAGCTGTCACAGCCAAAATGTCTTATTTTGTGTCTTTATTTTTTCAAGTGTTTAACGACCATCTCCATCTTAAGGAAAGTGGTTGGCATACTGTTTTTTCTGGTGTGTCTTCTGTCCACTGTCATCCTCTAGGAGTGGTCCATCTCATCCAGATCTCAGGTGTGCTGCCCTGTTGTATATTCATATCTGTGATCTGTAGAACATGCAGTTACTCACTCTCTCTTGCTCTCTTATTGGAATTTCTAGAAATTCATCTATTTTTGTTCATCGTTTTCATCTTATTTTATTATCTTATTCTCACTACTATTTAGTTTCTCAAGAATTACTTAGAAGTGTATTCAGATATTTTATAGGTCTTTTATTCATCTCTAGTATGTATTTCTACTTGATCAAAAACATAGTATGAGATTTTTCCTCACTAGAACCTTGTTGTTACTTGCTCTGCTCCTATAAGGAAGGCTCTGCTCCGCTGTCAGGTTCACTGCTCTGTGTCCGTAGCTTGATAGCTCTTTCTGAAGTGTGTGTGCCTCCTCCATCCTCCCCTGCTGGTCCGTCCAGTCTTGGAGGGAGAGGTGTTGCTGTACCAACACTGAATGTTTCTCCTCAAATTGTGAAGCCTTTGGTTTCTGTGTCTTAGCCCACACTGTAAAGTGCACGTGAGTTTGGAATTTTCTGTTTTCCTGGAAACCGAATGAGTCATCATTGTTAAGTGTACTCTTCACCTCTGATGATAGTCTTGTCTTCAGAGAAACCGACACACACAGCCGCAGCGGTTTTCTTTTGTTACAGTATGCAGAGTAAATTTTTCTTTTTTTTTTTCTTTTCTGCCTCTCTGTTTTAAATATTACCATAGAAAACGGCACATGGTTTTATTTATTTACCAACATATGCCAATCTTTGTCTTTAAGAATATAATTGAGATGTTTAGTGTAAATAAGTCTAAATTCACATCCATGTTTTGAGTTTTTTAGCTTGAGAAAACACCTTGTTGTTGAGCTGTTGGTGTTGTGGTAGAGACACTTGCTGCCAAATCTGCTGATCTGCATTCAGTCCCTGGGACCACATATTGAAAGGAGAGACCAGCCCTCCCAGCTGCCCTTTAACTTTCAGAAACACACCAGCCATATCCATTTGTGTGTGCACATGCACACACACACACACACACACACACACACACACAATAGATAGGTGATAGACATACAGACAGATAATAGAGTTTTAAAAAGTATCTCTGATTTGTCTGCAAGTATGCAGGAATATAGAAATTGCTTCATCTATTACTTGACTGAAATGTCTACAGACATTTCTAATTGAGTGTTTGGGAGTGTGGTATGCACTGCCACCCTCATCACAGCATGACCATTTTGTTTGCTTTGTTTGTTGTCATAGTTGGTGGTGATGGTATTGAGACAGGCCTCACTCTGTAGGTCTGGCTGACCTGCAACCTGTGCAGATCTGACAGGTCCACCTGCCTGTCTCCTGGGCTGGAAATAAAGGTATTCCCCAACATACCTAGCAACAATGTGGAATCCGTGTTTCCTAAAATACTGCAACAATGTTACATTTGCTCTGCAGGGCTGTGACTCCCAGGTGAGCTTGTCAGAGGCATCCTGTGGTGAGAGCACATCCTCCTGTCAGTCTCTGGAACATGGGTCTGTTCCAGAAATCCTCATCGGGCTCCTATACAACGCCACCACTGGAAGGCTATCAGCAGAAGTGATCAAAGGCAGCCACTTCAAAAACCTGGCGGCAAACAGACCACCCAGTGAGTGAAAAGAGTTATTTTATCCCAATGTTTGCTGTGCTTAGGGGACTTGCATCATTTTAGCCCTGACCAATCACAATGCAACTCTGAGTCATCAACCAATCTGTTTCCTGTTTTCTGCTTCTAGTCTTTTGGGAAGTAGAAAATGTGAAATTCAAAATATTAATTGTATGGTGACAGGGATTTTAATTTTTCATAGTGTCTGCAGAATAAATTATCCCTATCATTATCTTTTAATGCCAGATGAAGTTACAGGGTTTTAAAAAGTAACTACTATTCACAATATTAACAGAAAAGTATATCACTTTTGTTAGCTAAAGATTAATGTTGTGTTTTCTGTCTGCGTGCAATTCTCTGAACTAATGCAACTACCTCTGTATTTCCCTTCTTTTATCCTTAACACCTCATGAAGAAAGTCTTTCCTTGCGTTTTTCTTCTCCTTTGAAATGACAGGTTAAGGATGTAATTGAGTGGTACAACATGTTCTTGGCATGTACAGTCCCTGGGTTTTAGCACCAGCACCACAAGACAGAAAAACTTATGACCCTGCCCAGAAAACAAAAACAAACAGCAGAAACAAACAAACAAAAACATCAACATCACCCCACACAGCCAAGCAAGCCTTTTCCCTCCCAATAAAAACAAAATCAGGCCAGTGCTTGGCCGAGGTGACCTGGCAAAGAGAGGGGAAGAGTGACAGGCTTTTGTTTTTTTCTCCTCTCCTCTTCCTTCTCTGTGGTGAAGATGAGAAGAAGCCTGGAGAATGCAGAGAAATTGTCTGTACTCCACTCCAGAACTGTTGATGTCTTGTGAACTCTTAAACAGGAAACAGAACAACTCCTCTATATCTCTAAAAGTTAAACTTGTTCATGTCCTGGATTACAGCTTTGAAAGAAAATTGTAAATGACTAATAGCTTACATTTGTTTACGGATTTCCCAGAGGCTTCCTTAATACACTCTTACTCAGGATGCCAGCCATAAATGTCTATCATTTATGCTAACTTTGCTTTTAAGTGCCATAAAAATTCATTATTCAATACAGGTGAAACGCCATAAAAAGATAATAGGTTTGTACCAAAAACCGTGGGAAAGCTTACTTCATACATTACAGAATGAGTCTAGCCCTAAATTGAGAAGTCTGAAAGGCCAGGCTGGAGAGACAGCTCAGCAGTTACAAACCCTAGCAGTTCTTCCAGAGAACTCAGGATCAACTTCCATTTCAACTCCCAGGATCCCAAATGGTAGCTCACAACCATCTAGAACTCTAGTTGCAGGGAAGCCAATGCCTTTTTGTGGCCTTTGTAGGCACCAGATGCACGCATGGTGCAGACATGCATGTAGGCAAAACACACACACACATAAAATAATAATGTAGAGAGAAAACTTATAATCTCTGTAGACAATTGGCCTGACCTTGCATGCCTGTTTCTTAAGAGGTAAAGTCAAGGTTATGGCTCTTACACAGCAAGTGTGAGAATCAGATCTGACAAAGATGCATAAAAGTAGAATTAGCACTGTCCACTTTCTCATTTCAAAGAGAAAACTGAGTGTGTGAAAGAACATTCTGAGAAGAAGCAGGCTGGAGAGTCTAACTTGGTAGTCTTCACATATACTCTCTCCACAGAGGGCGGGACAGAAGCGTAGTAACATTGGCAGCTGGAGACAGGAGAGCTCGTGATTCCATGTCAAGCACACACGTGCCTGCTTGACCATAAGACACAGACCCAAAGACATTGCCAACACTGCAGCGGGAGACAGCAGTGCTTAGGGCCACACACAAGCTGTCAGTGTGTGCTTTGTGCTTTAGCTGGCACTTCAATAACTTTTGACAGATACTTACTTGGACATGTCAAAAAGTAGCAGAATGAGATGTTACTGTGGTATAGAGATAGAGAACAGAGTAAGAATGAAAAAAGAGCAAAGACAAGGTTAGATAGTTAACAGTATGATGGGCACCTATGGCATGGACTCTGGCCGGTGGCTCTGACAGCAGTTGGCATTATTTTAAAATTCGATCTTTAACCTCAGGTTCATCAGTAGTGTTAGCTTGGAAGTCAACAGTAAGTAAATAAAACCAACTTTTAAAATCCTGATATAAAGGGAAAGCCTTTGTAAAGGGCCTGTAAGATCCTTGCAAAGTGAAATTGAAGACAGTTGTACCCTCATGTCTCAAGTTGTAAGGTTATCACCCTTCGCTGACACTTAGGGTCTAAGCTGTGACCTGTTGTAAACCAGGTCACCCCAAATTCCCCTCAAGAAACAGGAGCAATATTCAAGAACAAGTATTGTGATAGCTGTATTGCATCTTGCATAACTGAATTCTTGATTATATTGAAAGTAACCAGACTTTTTGAAATACTAAATATTGCATGGGTAAAATTAAAATGTAGCACAATAATAGAGATCCTATAATGATTGTATTTGATCTTTTATAACCTGATAATTTGCATGATTCTATATGTTCAATGTGCTTTAGACCAAGAAGATACCATTGTAAATATGCCCCCTTTTAAACAGTGTAATTTTTGTTTATGATTACCCAACGATGTTAAATTTTTTCCTTCCATGGAGTTTACATAACAGCCCTTTGTTCAACCCTCTACCTGAATTAAAATGCTAAAGTTTTGTGTTTTTCCACTCAAGTGCACAGTGTTTCCTCTTTAATTCTGACCTTTGACCCTCTTTCACCCAACGATTGACATCTGGTCATTATTTCTTTTACTGCTTTCCACCCCCTGTTGTCAGATGGACTGTTCTGTTGTCTAAAACACTTGATAGGTGGACAGGTTTATATAATCCGAGGTGAGTTCCTGTAGAGGCTAATTGGATGTTGTCTTTTCATGCAAAAATGAAATGCCCTAAAACTTGCCAGCAGTGAGACTGTCCACCATGTTGGTTTCCAAAAACGATGCACATTTTTATCTGTGGTACTTTAAATAAGACTAACTTAGACTTTATCTCTGATTATGGATGATGGTATTCAGAATATCAACAAATGAGCAAAACTTTTTAAAATAAAAGTTATTTTTTTACTTCTTTGTATTTTGATTATGATAGAAGTAGCTAACTCATGAGACCATTACAATTATCTTTGAAATTATTTTCAAATTTTGATATGAAGTACACATGATGGATCAACATGCTGAGAGCATTTGCATGAGTCTACGAGACTTGAAAAGTCTTTAAAGAGAGAATATATCTTCTATATAGAAAGGCCTTGAAGTGTTACACTCACTTTGTGCACTAAACATCATATCAGTGTTTTGTAATTGATGAAAATAATTAAAATATCATTCTTAAAATTTTACATTAAATTATGCCTGGAAGAAACCGATAGTATTTAACTACCCCACCCCACCCCCTCAAGAAAAAGCACATTAAATGTACTCTTGCATGAAACCAGAAGAAAGTTTTACTTGGTTTGCTAAACGTTGACTGCTTAAGGCATTTGACTTCATTTGGATCCTTAAATGTTTTCAATATATATTTTAAAACCACATCCATGCAGAGATTTTTTTGACATTTCATCTTAAGCTGTTTCAGTGTCACCTTTGCATTCTTGTCTTCCTCCTTCCTCTTCACCATCTGCCTTCATTTCTGTTTGTTCGTTTATTCCTCCTCTCTGAAAACACAGTGGAATGCTGTAGTGTTGTGGCTTATGGAGCTTGCTAAGTGTCTATTGATGCTATGATGTCCTGCTTAGTGGAGTGAACTAGGGTGGTGATGGGCTTGGGGGTTGTGGGAGGCCAGTGAGGGGTGGGAGGAGAGGGAAGGATTATGAGGTATACCTTTAATGCCATCTGAGAAACAGTGAGGCTGAGCCGTCACTACTGCTCAAGTATTTTCAGCCTACGTAGCATTTCTGTACATGTCACTATTTAGTAAGCCTCTCCATCAGAGCTGAGCCAGTTGAGTTTCCATGAAACATGGTATACACCATAACCTTACAAAGTGTGACTACTTAATCATGGCATTTATCGTAAGAAAACTGTCCGTTTGTTTGAAATGATATTTGTGCTGTGTTGGTTTTCTTCCTTCAGATACATATGTTAAATTAACACTGCTGAATTCCATGGGCCAAGAGATGTCCAAATGCAAGACATCCACCCGCAGAGGGCAGCCAAATCCGGTGTACAAGGAAACGTTTGTCTTTCAAGTGGCCTTGTTTCAGCTCTCCGACGTGACTCTGATCCTGTCTGTGTATAACAGGCGCAGCATGAAGAGGAAGGAGATGATAGGCTGGGTCTCCTTGGGTCTGAACAGCTCCGGGGAGGAGGAGCTCAGACACTGGACTGCCATGAAGGAGGCCAAGGGACAGCAAGTGTGCAGGTGGCACGCACTGCTGGAGTCCTGAGGAAGGCGGCTGCAAGCCCGCACTGCCATTGTCCTCTGCTCAGCATCTGGAGCCACTACCTGGAGATCCCGGTCAACGCCCTCCCACAGTGCTTCCCACTCACGGAAAGATCAGCCAGTGCCGAGCCGAGGGGAGAAAGCTCTGTCTCTGGGAGAGAGAGCTCACATGAGAAACCAAGAAACTTGTGTCATTAGTGTCCAGCAGTCCTCCAGAAACTGAATAACATACTTTTGATTTGGTTGATTTTATTTAGTGAAAGAGCTAGGAATTTTGTGGAGATTGTGACTTAAAAGCAGAATTTCCATTGCAGCACTATGTACCATCATTCACATGCTACCCACAAGACATTCTGGCGGCCTGTCCTTGGGTGGCTCTCAGTGATCACAGGCCTATGTCAAGATGTGAAGGTTCACTCTCACTAACGAGTTCTGTTTCAGATTTGTTCTCTCTGTGCCTAAACCTTTGTCTATAGTACTAAACCCAAGTGCAGAATTCCTTGAAGGAAAGTCTGAGGTTGGTTTGTTTGGTTTATTTCTTTACTTCTTTTTTTTTTTCTGATCCAAAGAGACCATGCTCCTCTGGTCCCTTGTGAACTTCTTTGACTGTACTGCAAACTTCATAACTTCATGTTCAAGCCCTTTGTGTATTATGTATCTCAGTGTAGGACATGGCAGAGCACAGCTCCCATTAAGATTGCTTTCAGTGGTCAGTCTTTACAGCTGTGTGAGGTGGCAGACAGAGTGGCTAGCTGCTGACAGTGCAGTACAGCTCTTGTCAGAAGGAATTCTGACATCTGTCGCAAATGTCTGGTCTCCAACAACAGTAAAACGGGTAGCATTCTGAACAGGGGCTCCCCGAGTCCGTCCCCACCCCTCCCACTTCACTGTGGCTCTCAGCTCTGCTCTAGCTAAGATCATTCTGGATCCTTTGCTCTCGTGACTTGTGCTGTGTCTTGTGGCGTCTTCAGCGTGATGTCACTCTGTGCCTTTCATGCAAGTTGACCTTGCTTACACAGCTGGGAAGCCGCACTTGTGAACTGGGCCTTTAGCACTCATAGGTGTGAAGTCCCTTGGCAGTGCCATGGCCTTGCTCCGCTCTGCAGCTCGAGGTCATGTGCTGTGCTGGCCTCCACACCGCGAGCACCTTCCTGTTTTCACACTTCAGAACCACAGGTCAACTGGAAATAGTATAAGCTATTTTCTTTTTTATTTTTCTTCTTACCTGATGTAAATTTTTATGCATAGACTTTATTAGAATATGTTTTGTGTACATGAAAATACTTTCATTTTGCTCTTTCTCATTTCTAGTTAAGTTAGACAAAAACATACTATTTACTAACTGGTGAAAAGCTGCACCATAGCTCCAATCCCAGCTGAGCACTTTGGACTGTTACTGTGACTGAGAACTCATCAGTGCCATACTCGCTGTATGTGGCAGTACTGAAAGGCCTTAAAAACAAACCGTGAACTTATACATTTTTAGCTTTCAAACACAGCATTTTAAGGAAAGGAAAATGCAAATAAGATGCACAAAGTTAGTTTAAGGACGAAAGTTTCAGAGCCCAGCATGTGGCTCATCTCTGTAATCCTAGCATTTGAGAGGCTGAGGTTGTAAGCTTGTGGCCAGCCTAGGCTACATAGTTCCTGGCCATTCTGGGCTACAGAGTGAGAACCATCCCCCAAAAAAATCTTGTTACAAAGTTACATTAAAAAGAAAACATCCTTCTATCCTTGGTTAGTGAGCTTCCTAAGATTGCTTTTTTTATAAAGTGCGTCAGCTTAGAAATTAAAACATGAACAAGAAGCAAAATAGTTGATTTTTAGGTGTTATTGAAGAACAGAGTGAGGCGAACTGTGAAGAAGGATATAGGCAACAGTAAAAATTGGATACAGGCATTTGATGCTTCAGTGAGCTTTTGCTGGCTTTGAAACAACTGCCTGCATGGCTAACAACTGCTGTCTTCCTAATAAAGTCTCTGGTCTTCTTTGTCACAAAGCTCAGTTGGACATTATAAGACCAGCTTGGTGCTTCCACTGTGTTGAGAGGAAAATCTGTTATTTGTTAAGCCTCCTTTCCGGAGACTGTGCCCAGAGCTGTGTATCCTCCCAAAGATCCTCAGGGGTGTCTGGCATGGGGTAAGTATCACTTCCTGTATGACCTGGAAGGTGATTTCAGTCTTCTTTAACATCAGGAACAGTGAGTCCTCAGTGGTTATAGATGGCCCCACACGCAGCGTGCTGTGCTCACACAGTGGCGAAGGCGCCCTGCCTTTTCACATACTGATTAGGACAGAAGGCAGCGCTCTGGGCCATAGGGTGCCTTTTCTCTTCTCTGGATGACTTCCAAAGTGATACTAAGTTTGGAGCCAGATGCTGCCATTCTGTTGCATATAGAGCAGAAACACATCTTTTTCTGTCCTGCGATTTAACACAAATACTTCTCAAATTATCTGGGCCACAGATGTTGACCCAGGAACTTGAAAATGACAGTCTACACTCTTATTATTCTGTTAAAATCAAATGAAATGTCCAGATTCAACAGTTGACTGGCATGTGAGTATTCAAGAGCCTAGATTCCCGGGTCTTCCCAGTGTGGCTGTTGAGAACTAGCCAGAGGTGCAGATTGTCAGACCTTTCAAACTTCTGCAGCCTTGGGGCCTGAAAGCTAGCCACCTTCTATTTGACATACAATTGTGTATTACCTCATGGCACACTGGGAAATTCTCCGTAGTGTTGTGTTCACCGACAAAAGTCATTCAGTAGACCATATTTAGAGCAAATACTTAAGCTGCCTAGATGACTGTTGCTGTTGTGCAGTTGGGCCCTGGCAGGGTCAGATCTGATCTATGTAAAACACAGCTCTGTCTGCTAAATCACTGCTGCCTCTATGAGCCCGGAGCACAGCCAGTGACTGCATCAACAGGGGAGCAGAGACGGAGACCAGGCTGGTTTTGGCCATGAGGAATACAAATGATATCACAGCTTTCTGAGGGAACTAAGAGACAGGTGAGCTGTTTGAACGGTACAGGGGATAAGGCCAGTGATCACCAAGTGTTTTTTGTTTTTTTCTTTTAAATCCTTGTTGGGTATTAATAGAAATAACACAAAGTTCATTTGTGTAAAGCTACCATTTACCTCCATAGACTGAAGAATTGATAGAAAAATTCACAGTTGTTCTCCACAAGTTTCTTTTTCCTACTTTCTTTATAATCCAGGGTCCTTTCTCTTCATTTCTAACTTTTTACGTGTCAATTGAAGGTGGCTGTCAGTGTCAGTGTCACCAGCCAATCTAACACCACGGCAAGGTGAGGCAAGCATTCAAGCCCCTAGAACCACACCCACACCCTCCAAAGTTACACACTGGTGACGACACGGCTGTAACTTAGTGAAGATACGAAGAGGCAGGTACAGCATCAGGGTTTATCCAGGTAGAAGGTGCTGCTGAAGAAGCCGAGGCTGCCCCCTTTAAGTAACCCGCACTGGAACTGGGGTCCTCCAAATCCACATGGTATCTTCACTCTCTTCATTGTGGGTAGAAAGAGCAGCATTGGGCAAGTCCTGCACAGCCCAGCTGAGTGGCTGAGACAGGCCCAGGAGAGCAGAGCTTAGAAAGAAAAAACACAGTTCAGGGCTTGCCTTCTCAGGACACAGCAGCACTATTTTATAACTTGTGGGTAATTCTTATTTTTAAGGACTTGGGATTTGTTTGTTGTGTCTACACTGTACTTATATCCTGAAAATATGTTGATTCACTTGCTCTTCTCCACCAAGGTATTTTCATTGCCTGTATACACCTTTCTACCCCGTGAAACGACAGAATATCTGCTACCCTGTATTCATGTGAGGGGTCAGAGGAAAGACTGTTAGCCTTCCTATGCATGCTTATCCAAGTTTGTTTGTTTCTTTGTTAAAGTTTGCTACTATGACAAGATTCACCTCTAGCTTCCTTCTGCTTTGTTGTTAGTGCTTGCTGTGTGTAGCGTCTTTGTGAACCGTTTTTCTAACAGGAGCCACACAGCAAATACTGATGAATGATGTCGTTATTGTAGAACCAACACTGCTGTTGTGAAAGCCTTGTTCACTAAGGTGGGTTTTCTTTTCTTCTAATATGTATGTGTGAGACTCTCAGCTGTGTGCCGTGTGCTACTGTAGGGGCTACAGTTCGGACGGGCAGTCTTCTCTCACGATCTTGTGTGTTAAGGTACTGAGGCAGGCATCAGATGGTGTCTTATTGTAGGAGGTTAGAGAGAGGCATGTGCAGGGCCCTGGGGTTGAATAGGAAAGTATACAGTAAGTTCAACAATACTATGAGAAGATAAGAAAAATAGGATTTGACTCCCATCAAACTCCCCCAGATAAAACAGACAGTTGCTCTTGAGTTGCAATGTGCCTAAGAATTCTCCCAAGGCTCTGTCCAGAGATTCTGTTTCATTTGGTGCAGAGGAAAGCCTGAGAGTCAGGTCTGAAGGAGTTCCGCAGGAAACCCTACCTGGACAACACCGGGATATAATACTTTGTTTCTTATCTGCGATTATTGGCAGCAGTTTCAGTGCCCATAGATTAAGTCTTAACGTTAGGTAATTGTGAGGAAGCCAGCTTCTTGGGAATGAGGAATCACATTCTCTCCTGAACTCTCTCATGTTGCTTTAAGCGGGACAGTTTCCAAAACTATAAAACTGAAGTTAATACTGTAAAGTTAGAGGAAGGCCTTTCTTAAGTTGAGGGTGATATTTTGGCAGTCTTGCTGGATAAATACTAAAGATATTAATATGTCTTGTAATGTACCACATTGTTGGCTGAAGGGAAACCAGGACAGCTTTGACAAGTATACTGACACTACTGAAATATGATTATTTCAAGCACAGCTAGAAATGTATGGTGATACGTTTATCAAGAGAAAAACTGTAGTAGTAACATTTTAAAAATTAATTTATTATGTTTCTACCTAGTTTTATTACAATAACTTTTTTGTGGAAACAGTATAGCAATTCTGAGGAGCTGAAAGCTGACACAAAGGGAACAGCCTTTGCCTTAGCTGGCAGTGGTGGCCATGCCCTAGCAACTTGGCTGGGCTTGTACCTGAATCCTGAAATGAGGAAGTGTCTCAGCACTGTTTCTCAGTGCTTGCACTATGAACTCTTAGAGTCTGGTAAGTGTTAGAACCTACTCCTTTTCTAAAACTCAAGAGGTTCATCACTGCTCTGGGGCTTTGCTTCTCAAAATAACATGATTTTTATAAAAAAACTCAGTCAGCGGATCTTTTTATTTGATATCCCTTTCTCTTTTTCCCTTCTCTTCTCTCTTCCTTTCATTCTTTCAGTTTTTGAGACAAGAAGCTTCCTTAATAGTTTAGTTTCTATGGAGCTTTCTTATTTTTCTAATAATGGGTGTAGCTGAATGGTGACGTTTAACTGCTCTGTGAGCAGAATTGTCTCAGCCAACCTGAAGAAATGTGCTTCCTTTGGTCTCCCCTGTCTCTCTCCTGTTCACTGGTGACTTTCCCCCAGGAGTAGCGTTTGCTCATGTACATGCTATGTTCCTGTGGTCCTCAACAGCACTGTGTTGTCGCCACATGCTTATGTTCACTTGGTCAAGGTAGAAGCTGAGTGTGTGAGCCGCCATCTTGTAGAGTGAACGGCTGACCCACCGTGTGTCGCTGGGGTTGCGCTGTGCGTCCGTTGCCTTTGAAGTCTCACACCTTCTTTTGTACTCTACACCGACTGTCGCGGTGCCTTTTTCCTTTTGTATAATTGTATTACATAAAGAAATTGCTGACCTGTGTGTAAAAATGTCAAAAATACACCAGTCCAAGGAGATTTTAATGGCAGTTCAATTTTCCAGAGAATAAATTTTTGTGTGCATTAAAAGTTACTCTTTTTCACATTTATATTAAAAAAAAAATGTTTTTCCATTTTACCACCCATGTGAAATGGATAAACATCCAACCTTTTTTATAATGATACATAAAACTCATCCCTATTTATCACTGGCAACAAGGTGTTAACATGGCCATTAAACAGATGAGCTAATGTCAGTTAGCTGCATCAAGTGGGTCTGTCCTTAAGACAAGGCTTAGGAAGAATCCCATGTGCATCAAATTCTGCCGTCAAAATATTTGGATCATGTTTGTTTTGTTTTTCACTATGAGTCAAATCTGACCATCAAAAGGGGGGGGGGAACCTCCAGGCAAACATTTTTTAATGATTCCTTGAAAGTTCATATAAACAAAAATGGAATAAGTTGCTTTAACAGGCTGGGCCCTTAGCTGGAATGTGGCATGGATCCCATTGCCTAGCTTTCCTTTTCTTGGCTGTGAGCCTGTCCTTATTCCTCTTGAATCCCTGTTAAACAAGACCTTTCATAAAGACAATAATATAAAGTATATTGTCTTCCAAAGATCCTGAGTTTAGATTCTTTTCATATTATATTACCTTGTCTGTTTTGTTTCCAGCAGGATAACAACTAGTTTAACAAATACTTGAGCATTTGTTGCTTTAGTCTGACAGAAATTCAAGTAGATACATCACCTTATCTCTGATTGTCTTTGTTGAGTTCCATCAACTGACTAGCCTTTTCTTTTTCTTTGCTTTTTTTGGGGGGAGGGGAAGGGCTTTTTGAGATAATGGAACACTGGCTCCTAAACACAATGAAAATGCATTTCTGCTCAAAATAAAAGTATTCACGATGTGATCTCTAGGCACAGCAAAGTAATTTGTATCTTTTCCTTTTATTTACTGGTTAGTTCTCAAAGATTTTCTTATCAGTGTTCACAACAACAACAAAAAAGTTTCCGAATTCTAAACAATGTCTCAACTAAGGGTGATTTGTTAGTTATTTGGTGCTTAGAAAAAAAAAAATTCCATATGAGTCATGACTTCCTATTTTCAGAAAATTACAATATATAAAAGGTGAAATTCCAGCAGAAAATTGGCACGTCTGCAGTCTCGCTAGAAAGTAGGTAAGTTATCATTTTGTGTTAAAAGATTCATTTATCATTACAACATATTATTCTGAAGGTTATATTTTAATTGCAAGTTGCATGTAACTGCTTTGATCTCCAGTATGCCAAATAACATTTAAGTCAACTCTTCATTCTCAAAATTAAACAAATATTCTACAATGTTTCTTATTTCCAAATAAAGTCATTGCCAACTTAAAATTATAAGACTTTAGTAAAAATGTGAAATATTTGTTTAGCTGTTGCATGATAATGAGTTCTAAAAGCACAAATCACTAAATATGGAGTAATTAAGTGCCAGGCAAGAGGGGACAGATAGCAGCATGAATTGTTCTTGCAGGTTGGGTGTCTGAGAAAGGCGCTGTTGAATGGCTCTATCAGCGTGTGGAGAACCTGGAGCAGCCGTTTCATGTGCAACACATAAGGTTATTGCTTCTCTGCACCCCCGCGAGCCATTGATCTGCCACTTTTCTAGATTTTAGCCACTCCAGTAGTTGAGTAGTAGATCTGTCTGTAGTAGTCTGCAGTTCCCTGCCAGTGAGGCACAGGTAGGCGTGGGTGGGAGCGAGTGATTGTGTGTGTAGTGCCATGATGCTGAGTTTACTGTGTACAGCTCTGTGTACACGGTGTTCTGAAAGGGCTTTCTCCTGGGTGGTGGTATAGCTGCATGTTCTGAACAGTCTTTGCTGAGCAGGAGTAGTGATTTAATGAATTTCACTGTCTCTTGTTCTTTCATGAGTTGTACTTTTGATGCTGTATCTTAAAATTCACAATCAAACCACAGTCACGTAGATTGTCTCCTATGATTTTTTTTTATTTCTTCTTTTTATGTGTATGTCAATCATCCGTTTGGAGTAAAAGACTTGAGAAGATTAAAGAATTGACTATCTGATTTTTTTTTTTTCAGATAGGTATGCAGGGTTTTGTTTTTTTTCTGTGCCATCTGTTGGAAAAAGTGACCCTCCACCAAAGAACTGCTTTCATTGTGTGTCTTTCTGTTCTCTCTGCTGGCTCTGTGTCTGAGTACCTGTCCTCTCTGATATCAGACTGTCTTCACAAGATGGCTCTTGGTAAATGTTGCTTTTCCAAATTCCTTTCGGAATTCTTTGTCTTTCAGTGTTGTCTTCTGTGGTATAGGTGGGGTTTGCCTTTTCGGTATGAAATTTGGAACTGCCTTGTTAAGCTCTATGAAGGGGTTTCTTGCAGCTTGCATTGTTATTTGCTGAACATGGAAAGAATTGATAACGTGTAATGCGAGGCCTTTGGGGTCAGGGGCAGAAAGTCTCTCCTCATTTGTTTACACATTTTCATCAGTTGCATAGTTACAGCTGTGGGACACAATGTATCCTCCCACTGATGCAAGTATTAGAGGGTTCTTTCATTAGTTGTTAACTAGCACACACCAAGAACATATAGCATCTTTCATTTATTTATTTACAGGGTTTGTGTCATTACTTGTACAGTTTACATACCAGGGGTCATAAAATATCTTCCCATTTATTTACGTGTTAATAGGATTCACTCGTTGCACAGTTACACATAGGTGGACCCTCGCCTGCTGAGGAGTCTCTTCATGAATGACTGTTGGGTTGTAGCAAAGGCTGTTTCTACATCTGATGCTAGTAGTCTGGAGGAATTTTCTTCTTTAGCCCATAGAAGTTGTGGATTCTGTTGATAGATTTTCTGTGTTGACCTGGTCTTGCAGGCTAGAGTAAATCCCATTTGGGTGTGGTCAACTGTTCTTGGTATACATTACCTGAGTCAGTATGGTAACATATTGTTGAGGAGTTTCACATCTGTGTTCTGGAAATGTGCCTGCCGCTTAGTAATGTTTTTTTTGTTTTGTTTTGTTTTGTTTTCTGGCTTCAGTGTTGGGCCTCAGAGTCTGGATGGAGACAGATTCCTACACCTCTGCATCTGGAAGAGTGTATGGAGAGTTCATTGATCTGACAGTGATTTGTCTTTTTAAATGTTTGGTAAAAAATTTGTATGTGAAACCATTAATGCCCAATGCTTTTTCTTCTTGGAGGCTATTCCTCAGTTTTTAAAACATGCAAGCCTGTTTGCATTACCTACCTCTTTTGTGCCAGTTTAAATCTGTGTGCATGAGTAATTGATCCCTTTTCTGTATCAAACTCCTGAAACTGTAGCTAGGGCATCACTGTTCCTTTAACATATTGCCTGCTGCCTTTCACCTCTTCCTCCTCCCCTTCCTACAACATTTTTTTCATGTTTTTGATTTTTACTGTTGACATATTTATTTTCATGCCATTGATTTCAGCTTTAATTTTTCTTTCTTTGGTTTACTTTTGGCTTAAATAGTTGTTCTTTATCTTCCTTTTAACATTTATTTTTTATTTTCTTTATTTATTTTACATCCCAAGGATGCCCCTCCCTCCTCTCCTCCCAGTCCCCCTCTGGGAGCCTTCCCCACCCACCTCACCCCGCATCCACCCCTCCCCCATATCACCCTTCCTCAGCACATCAAGTCATGTCAGGACTGAGCATATCTTCATCCCCTGAGGCTAGGCAAGGCAGCCCTGCCTGAGGGAAGTGATCCAAAGCAGGCAATAGGGTCCATGTTAGAAACAGCCCCCACTTGCCATGCGCCTCATATGAAGACCAAATCGCCCATTGGCTACATGAGTGCAGGGGCCTAGGTTCAGACCGTGGCTGCTTTTGTCTGCTTTCTAAGATGCTAGAGTTTCCCTTTCCTGACGCAAGTGCAGCTGTAACTCTTCCAGCAAGTGCTACTTCACTGCGTCCCGAAAACTGCTGGTTTTGATGTCTGCTTTCGTTTTCATGTAATTCAAATATTTTTTCCTGAGACTTGTGTGACACATGTATTATTTATAAAATGTGTTGTCAAAGTAACAGTTTATTTCCCTTTTGTTCGACTTTAGTTATTGGTGTTCTTTTATGTGTATTTGTGTGTATTCCTGTGTGCACAGGTATGCACGCCCCTGTGTGCACAGATGTGCATGGAAACCAGAGGACAGTCCTGGGTGTCACTTTTCTGGTGTTGTCCACACTCTTTCCTGCCTTGTGAGACACGGTCTCATGGCTGGAGCTAACCGGGCAGGCTAGGCAGCTTGCCAGCAGGCCCCCGTGCTCTACCCATCTCCTCCGAGCCTCCATGCCGGCTTGTTGTTCCTTTAAGCATGAGGAAGAACATCCAAGTTCTGGCCATGTTTAGACAGAAGCCAGGGTGCTCGGGAAGGCTTTAAGCTTCGAGGCCTGTTTTCGCATGAAAATACAACTGACTCAGCATGAAATTGTTACACTAGCTGGGTTGGCTGGACACATCACTTAGCATAGTTTTCTAATATTTCATGCTCGGTGAAAGGGAACTCGTGTTCAGTGTCTCCTCTTTGTATAACTGTGCTGCATAACACTGGTGCCTTCTGCAAATCCACGGCCCAGGTTTCCCATCCTCTAGGTCTCCAAAGAAGTCTAGTGCCTCAGTCTGTGGGGTGGGCACCTTTGCCCTCCCTCAGTATGAGTATTTTTCCTTTTGGTTTTTGGCCGACAGATTAGAACTAAAAGGTTCTAGCCTTTGGAAGACTTGAATCATTTATAATATCAATCTGTGCTGTTAGTTTATGTCAGTATTTTGTTCGGATAGTTTGTGTTTGGTTTTTTGTTTCTTTGGTACTGGGATCCACCCTAGGGCTTCACATATGTTAGACGAGTGCTGTACTACTGAACTATGTCCCCAGGTCTCTAGCCCTAGATTTTATCACTTGCTTTTTTAAAGAAATACTATGGTTTAAAACTATTTTCTGCTTGAGCTTCAGTCTGTCCTACGAATAACTATCAAGTATATCCTGTGTGTTAGGAACTGTTTTTGCTTTGGTATTTAAACAAATATGAGATGTGTTTCCTTCCAAATGAAGT